TTCAACAGATCATATCCATACTGTGATAGATGGTGTGAAGCGGTACATGAATCCTACATTATAACTACTATTAACTACAAAAACTCTACAATTATGTATAAAACCAGTTCTACAATTCAAACAAATTTACCTAGAGTTTACCTACAGTGAATGTACAAATTACCTACAGTTTAAGTACCTAATATAAGAATAACTACAATTTACCTACAGTTACAGGGCAAACAGGAAACACATCATCCACAATCATGTCTACATTATATCTACATTTTAGACTACAATTAATCTTGGAATGTTCTACATAAACTACAAACTAACTACAATTACACTACAAACAGTAAATCTAGGTGAGGGCTTCAACAGATCATATCCATTACACTAAATCTACAATTACGGCGGCTTTTCATATTAGTCTCTTTACCAATAAATTTCTCATTTTTGACTTTTCTAGAAGAGGGAATTTTGTTTGGTACCCAAAAAAAAAACTACTAAAGTGTATCTGTTTTCATTGTTTTGCTAGTTCGTGGCGTATTAAAATGTTTGTTGCAACTTTTGATTTCATGTAGACTTTCAGAAAATCAGATCACATGCCACAATTGTTGCAGAGGAAATTGGCACGACATTCAAATATAATGAGATTTCGCTGGCTAATGCATCTCAAGGACATATTTCGTTGATTGATCTTGCAATCGTGGATGAAGAACAATAAAGAATGTGGGGTATGGGTAAAAACGTGGGTGAGGGGTAAGGAGAGAGAAACGTGAGATATATGGATACCTTTAATTAAGGAGTAAAAACTGCCCATTAATTAGATATGGATACCTTTAATTAAGGAGTAAAAATAGCCCATTAATTAGACCCTTAATTAACTATGGTATAGGATTGGTAATTTGGTATACTAAGTGTAATTTACTCAAACCTTAAACATGTAGGGTAAAAAGGTTTCCTATGTGGTATAGGAATGTAAAAATTCCAAGAATTAAAATAATTAATCAGCAAACAATAAATTGAAATTATAAAACTAAGTAATAAAGTAATAAGTTTTGGGCTTTTAAAGTGGGCTTTATTGGGCTATTTAGCCCATATTAAGTGGTGGACCTAAAAATTAAAACTGACCCGTTCTCTTTTACCTCTGTTTTTCTTTTTCCTATATCTGCATTTTTTTTTTCCTCTTAGAAACAGCAATGGAGAAGAAAGGGAGCAGCTCGAAGATGAATATAGCCATAATCCATCCCGATCTCGGAATTGGTAATTATCAATTTACATATTTAAATTTCTTGATAGATCTTTTTGTAACTGCATTTTGTTGAATCATTTGCTTCACCGATCAAAATGATTTATATGTAGGAGGAGTTCATGAATTCCAAAAGCTTCCACCTTTTTTCCAATGTCTTTTTTTTTTGGG